TATCCCCTGTGTGCCTTGTCGACTCATATATATATATATATAGGTATATATACATCCCCCGGTTTTGTTCGAATCCGTTCGTCGGTCGGCTACCGACACGTGTCCCGGTCAAATTTTGATAAGCGACGAACACGCGGTCGCGATGAATCCTATCTGCGTCCGGGGTGTGCGCCGAAAGTTAAAAATTACCGACCGCGATCGGGACACGACACGTTTCGACGATAAAATAAGCGAAGCCGCAACACGTCGCGGCTTCGGCATGCGCGCGTGCTTTTGTTGGGCTTCCAGCAATTAAAACACACGCGGATCACACTCCGAATCATCGGCATTTAATTGGGTTAGTTATTTCAGCACCCTCCGAGAGATCTTGCTGAGACATCGCGAGATCAACACTCGTCAAATTAACTTACTTCAATTGCGTTATCCTTTATCTCGCGAACACTCACGGTGAAAGATGTTTCTCTTAGCTTATTGTACGTACTCACAATAGATCAGAAAATTCTATGATCCTCGAGAAATATCATGTTGAGAGCCGTGTAAAATACTACTTGACACAATTCCTTTAAGAATAGTTAGAGCGATTCGAAAATGTTTAGACGCGCGTAGGCAGTTGTGTGGCTATTACGCGAGCGAGGCGAGTGAATAACAAACGCATCGTGTATCGTCCGCTCTATTAATCAGCACGGCGACAGGTACGTCGCGTGATCTAGCTCGCTTTTAAGATTAAATTAACTTACCCAGCGACGCTGAGGGAAAATTCGCTTGGCTGTGAAATATCATGCCTCAAGCTGACTCGCCGCTTAACTATCGGATCGTAAATCACGATATATATTTGTAACCCTGTGCCTTCGATAATCCATGGCCAGGGTGAAATACACACGCCAATATTAACACGATTATTAGCACGTTTAGCACTTATAACCCTTATCGAGTGTGCACGCTTATCCTTATTATGTCCGATTAAAATTCCTCACGGAGGAAAGATTATACCTAGATTCTGAATTCGCCGAGGAATTCTCATCATTCTCACGTTTTTCCCGTTTGCCATATCCCGTCCTCGATAAGATAATTAACTAACTCAAGACGCGAATGATTAATGTCAGACATTTACGGATGCATAAACCCGTTATCGCGGGCGACGACGTTTACGGGCGAAATTTTTTCGAATATCTCGTCACAATGTCGAAATTGGCGAGACGATAGATCAATAAAAGCGCTGTTGTTCGCCGGCGGCAAAGGAAGGGATCTAGGCAAGCTCCAGCTGCGGTTTATTTCGGGTTTTAGGTCCGTGGATGCACGATATGTCTCGCGTCTCGAAGAGGCAGGCAGGCAGTCAGTCAGGCACATGCACGCACGTATCTATACGCACACACTATACTTCCCGGGGCGGCGCAGTGTAGCGCGTGTAAAGCGCGCGAGAGAGAAATAGATTATTTAGTGGCCGCAGTAAAACGCGGTAAAGCCCGCGTTTCTCAACGCTATAACGACGCCGCGCGACAATCGTAAACAGCGCAATTTTGATATTATGGTGTAAGCGCCAGAATGAGATACGTACGCATCTGTCGCGAGAAAACGTAATTATACCTTGCACAGCGAGCCGAATTTAAGAGCTCGGACCCCGATCGCGCCGGTCTCGCTGCATTTGATCGCGTCCCCGCGATAATCGGAAAACCGACTGTCTGCACGCGCGTTTAGAGCTCGATAAATTGCAAAACGCGGTATATATTCACACACACACACACAC